AACTACTCACTGTAAACAACTGTCAATGGCCATCTCTAAAAGTATATTTCTCTCCTAGCTAATCAACAGAATTCAGTTGATTAGGAAGTTTTCACAGAGAGAGCAGAGGCTTTAAAACAATATCTGGGCCGGGCGCGGTGGCTCAAGCCTGTAATCCCAGCACTGTGGGAGGCCAAGGCGGGTGGATCACGAGGTCAAGAGATGGAGACCATCCTGGTCAACATGGTGAAACCCCGTCTCTACTAAAAATACAAAAAATTAGCTGGGCATGGTGGCACATGCCTGTAATCCCAGCGACTCAGGAGGCTGGGGCAGGAGAATTGCCTGAACCTGGGAGGCGGAGGTTGCAGTGAGCCGAGATCGCGCCATTGCACTCCAGCCTGGGTAACAAGAGCAAAACTCCGTCTCAAAAAAAAAAAAAAAAAAAAAAAAACAATATCTGTATACATATATCCTAAATCAGTTTTAATTAATTTGACTTTATAGAGCTCTTGAAGAAAAGTCTTTCAGATCTCTTACTACCAGTTTTTAGCTGGGAAAAACAGCTTATATTTCTGGCTTTTGAACTCTACCAAGGATAACCTCCCATCTGAAACCAATGAGTCTTAACCACAGATGCATATCTCCAAAGAGATGGCAAGCAGTTTTTTACAAGATCTAGAATCACCCCAAAGGTAGCTCAGAGAAAGGAAAATTCAAGACAGGAAATCAGAAGCTGTCCATCAGTAAATGGCAGAAAGTCCCACAAATACCAAGCCAGAAAGGATTCATTCCTTGAGCTGGGAAGTGATCCCGGGCCACCATGGTGAAAGGGCAGAGACTTAGGTACTAAGCTAAAGCATAGGGTGGTTGCCAGTGCTCTTCCCAGAAGCAATCTAGAGTAGTCATTTTCAAGCTTGCAAATGATCTTAACTGCTCAAGAGAATTTTTAAGGCTAGCCATGACACTATTATTTAATCTTTCTTCAATTGTTTTGGATAAGAGATGTCTAAAATCCTTTTTCTTTCAATGGTTCTCTAAAATCCTTTTTCTTTCAATGGTATGTGTGCTTAATTCCCATAGAGACTCAAATTAAAAGACTTTTTTAATCCTAGATGGTAATTTTCCAGGTTTTTGCCATATAAGTAAAAGGTATTCCTAGAAAGTGTATAAAGGAAGCATCCCCAAGTATTCCCTCTCAGAAATGGGTTTAAGATAGCAAAATACAACAAAAGTCCTATAGAAATAGGACCGGTTTTTGTTGTTATTGTTGTTGTTGTTCCAATAAATCCAACCAGCAGAGATGGGACCTTGGGACCTTTTAAGAAAAAACTCACCTAAGGGCTTGACACATTCGGGATGAAGAGTGTGCTAATGTGTCTCAAACTCCCAATCCTTTCAGACCAGCCACCTGACTGGAACCCAAAAATTCCCACCCTCCAGTTGGCAGAGATCAAGAGAGAGAGTGCCCCCACATGGTTGCAAAGTCAAGCTCTCAGCCACATAAAACAAGACAAGAGGGAAATCTATCCAGTTTTTGTTTCAGCGACCTGCAGCAAAGTTTGTAACCAACCAGTCTGCAGGGCTGGCTTGAAAAGCAGGCTTACAGGGATCCTAGGCCTGCATTCTAGTCCATGGTACCCTTCTCCATGATGGAATGACATAAAAAGGCAAAGACAAAGGAAGGTGATTTCTGAGAAGGGGCCAAGCAACATGAATATTTATAGTTCAAAGTACCAAAAGTACACAAGATTCACTACAGCCTAAGACTAGTCACGCAAATCTTCTTCCCTATTAATCAAAACTTTGAAGAGGAGACAAACAGTGATTTTTATTGTTCACTCAACTCATTTGCACAGAGAGAGAAAGGCTGGAGGCTAGCTGGTAAGAAATGAGGTTTTTACCAGCTTGTCAGGTTTCTGGCTTCCCTTCCTCTGCTGCTTCCAGAAGAGAAGAGTGGCTTTTGATGACCCTGCTTGCTTCACCATAGCTGTGGGGGCCAAGCCACGTCACAAAAAAAATCTCTTTTCATGGAACCACAGGCAAAAGCCTCCCAGTTTGCAAGAGGCAGCCCAACAGGCTGTGTGGGGGAACTAAATTAACATTTCCCGTTCCAGCCGGAGTTATATACACATGTCAAAACACCGACACTAGTCACTCTGCTCAGTACCCGAGTATTGACCTGGCAAGACTCAAACTTGCCCCGATTGGCCTCTGTCTCAGTCTTCTCCAGGATATAAATTTCATGGTGGTAGGGCATATCAAGAAAGCCTGGCAGGCCAGGCACAATGGCTCACGCCTGTAATCCCAGCACTTTGGGAGGCCAAGGTGGGTGGATTACCTGAGGTCAAAAGTTTGAGACCAGCCTGGCCAACATGATGAAACCCTGTTTCTACTAAAAATACAAAATTAGCCAAGAGTGGTGGCAGGCACCTGTAATCCCAGCTACTCAGGAGGCTGAGGCAGGAGAATCACTTGAACCTGGGAGGCAGAGATTGCAGTGAGCCGAGATTGTACCACTGCACTCCAGACTGGGTGACAGAAAGACACTTTATCTCACAAAAAAAAAAAAAGAATTAGAATGAAGCTGCTTTCTCAGCTATGTCATGCAGTGTTCCTTCCAGTGCAATTTCCTGTCAAAATCTAACACTGTGCCAGATGGCAAAGAAGAAATGACCCACAAGGCAGGACAAAGATGGAGTGGATTTGGAACAAAGATGCAATAAAATAATATTGAGCACCATTCATACCTTTAGCTGCACAGTTTTCATATTACACATATTTAAACTTTTTGTTTTTTTGAGATGAATTCTTGCTCTGTCACCCAGGCAAGAGTGCAGTGGCATGATCTCAGCTCACTGCAACCTCTGCCTCCTGGGTTCAAGCAATTCTCCTGCCTCAGCCTCCCAAGTAGCTGGGATTACAGGCACCCACCATCACACCCAGCTAATTTTTTGTATTTTTAGTAGAAATGGGATTTCACCATGTTGGCCAGACTGGTCTGGAACTCCTGACCTCAGGTGATCTGCCTGCCTTGGCCTCCCAAGATGCTGGGATTACAGGCATGAGCCACTGCACCCAGCCTAAACTTTTATACAACAATGAAACCATTATTTATTTTCACCAATCAAGACAAAGCCACCTTATAAGTGACAAAGTTCTCACACTATCCCCAAAATGAAGAGAGAGTCCTATTCATTGTATAGCTCAGTATAGAGCTGTATTATTTACTCTTCAAATTCAGTCGCAGTTTCCTTGACTGTATATACTCTTACCAAAAGGACTATATTATAACAGAACTTCCAACAATTTCTATATAAAATCATACATGTAAGAAGAAGAGAGAGAAAGAAAAGTGTTGATATATACAAATAAGCACATACACATGAGAAGCAAAGAGAAAATACGGGAAGCTATTACATCCTTGTTTCTGTAGCTGGTCACAAGGCTAGAACTGACGTTTATTACTTCCTTCCTTCAGTTCCACTCCGTCCCTTCTTACCTTCAGTTCAGCCAGAACCGCAGCTGGTCAGAGTTCCTTACCTGTTAGAGTGAACACTCCTTCATTCCTTATGGGTCTAGGTCCTCGATAACTGCCTCTTTTTGTTTGCTGTGGTTTCCATTAGCCCTTATCATTGGACTTGGAAGTGCTAATACATTGATTAACAGGAATCATGCTCATGTTCAAAGCTTTCTGCAATTCACCTTGTTCATGAAAAGCCTCTACTTCATTTATGTCTTACTCTTAATTCCCTGAGTTAACACAGCACAGTTTTATCACAGGTAGCAGAAACTTACTGAGACTTGGAAAGATTTGTTTCATTCATCCCAGAAGAAGAAATGTATAAAGTACAATATTAGGCTGGGCACAGTGGCCCACATGTGTAATCCCAGCACTCTGAGAAGCCAAGATGGGAGGATCACATGAGCTCAGGAGTTCAAGACCAGCCAGGGCAACATAGTGAGACCTTCTCTCCACTAAAAAATAAAAATAAGAAAAATAACAAGGCATGGTGGCACATGCCTGTGTTCCCAGCTAGTTGGGAAGCTGAGGTGGGATGATTGTTTGAGCCCTGCATTCTGACCTAAGTGACAGAGACCTTGTCTCCAAAACAAAGAAAAAGCAAAAAACGTACAATATTAGATTTCGATTCCTCTCATCTTACAAGTCCGTAAGCCACCATTTCCCTGGATATTTTTGGATGACCAACTTTTCTGGTCAGACAGTCCGAACCCCACAAAATAGAGCTGGAGATTATTCTCAATCTCTGGATCCCCCTGAACAAACTCAAATTGGATAAACTCCTCTTTGTTCTGCAGAATAATTCAGCCCTCAGGCCCTTTTCATGTCCAAAAGTATAAAAATCTCATGACATTTTTTTTTGAGATGGTGTCTCGCTCTGTCATCAAGGCTGGCATGCAGTGAGGAGCATCATGTCTGGCTAATTTTATTTTTATTTTTAGTAGAGACAGGGTTTTACCATGTTGGCCCGGCTGGTTTCAAACTCCTGGCCTCAAGTGATCCACCCACCTTGGCCTCCCAAAGTGCTGAGATTACAGGCGTGAGCCACCACACCCAGCCCCATGAAATATTTTTTAATACCAAAACAAAAATGAGTTTTACAGTTAACTTCAGCCTACCCCAGATCAATTCGAACAACAGTCAACTTTCGTCTTCTGCTTTCTGAACACAAGGCACGAGCTGACTGTTCTCATAACCACACAGCCCGGGAGTCTGCATCCAGAACAGGAGGACAAGGCTCCTAGGGCCATCCAAGACTTATCTCAGAGGCTACTGCCACAAGAAGTCTGCAGCTCCTGGAAGAGCCACAGCGAAGGTCGGGGCAGTGATAAGGCCTATGGGGACAAAGCCTCAGGGTTCCAGGGGAGAAATGGAGATTCGACCCCTGGGGGAGCACCATCAACACCTGAGCCTGGCTGAACCCTTCCCCTGGGGAGCTCACTGACTCCTCCAAAGAAGAATTGTTAGGGGACACAGGAAGGCCCTTAAGCCCACTTACCACAGAGCAGATGGTCAACGACACATCTCCTGACCTTAACATGAAGTCTGGAAAGAGGGCTCCACAGAAGCAAGTCAGAGGTAAGGAGAAAATGTGAGACCCATCAATTACGTTACAGAGAAAGCCATCCCCTTCGCTGTAGTCCAGGAAAACTCCCACCTTGTAGGGAATCCGCCTAAGATATAGCAAAGTATTAGGTTCAGTGCAGGCACAGCATCCATTGTCCTATCACCCCGCAGCCCAGAACCCCTTCTCTGGGGACTCTTTGTACCGATCTGTCCTTTTCACATCTTCTCTACAGATCCCCGGAGTCCACTCGCTGCTGTCTCCATGTTTGATCTCCACCTCCCAGTAACATCGCCCTGGTGTGATGCCCTCAAGGCCCAACATGCTATAGGTGCCATCTGAGCCCCTGAAGGTGTCCTTCCAGGTCACACTCTTTTTTTCATGAGAGATGGCAAGGTTGGGATGGGCAGAGCCTGGATCCAGAGTGACAGACCCTGCAGAGAGAGGTACCAATCACACAAGGCCCTCCCCTGCCCCATAACAATGATGCAAAACACCCACTTCAAGCCACTTAGCTGCCTGGGGGAGGTCTAAGTCCCCTGAAATAAGCACTTTGTTACTCAAGCCCATGCTCTCCAAGCAGAAAAAGAAACCAAAAGGCTGATTTGGGGATATGTCACAGGCTCCTTGGGGACCAGCCCCAGCTTTATGACCGTCACCTCCACCACCCACCCCATCATTATTGATAGCCAGCATCTGCATCATTACAGAGAGCAAGGCAAAGGGGCAGCAGGAGGAGTACCCAGAAAGAACACCACGTCACTCACGGACCTGGAACTGTTCTTTCTGCCAGTCTAAAAGAGAACTGCATATTTCATATGAGGAATTTGCAGAGACTGTACACATTACAGTCAACACCTAATCTTTTGAAGCAGTGATGCAGAAGTTATAGGGAAAAATGTGTTTGAAAATATTCCACTGATGTATTTTTTTCTTTTTCATGCACATGTGTGCACGCACACACCCACACACACGCACATCAATCACACTGCAGCCTTCTCATGATAACTAAGCCATAAAGTTTAACACTCAGCTATTGAGAAGCTGGATACTGACCTAGACAGAAAATTCATTGCCCAGAGTTAACAGTAAAATTATGCTTTTCAAGTCCCTAGCCATACAACCATCCAGAAAAGCTGTTTGGGTTTTTTTTAGAAAGAACTGGGGAGATTGACATTTCTTTTCTTTTTTTTTTTTTCTTTTTATTTTGAGATGGAATCTCACTCTGTTGCCCTGGAGTTCAGTGGTGTAATCTTGGCTCACTGCAACTTCTGCCTCCCTGGTTCAAGCCATTCTCCTGCTTCAGCCTCCTAAGTAGCTGCGATTACAGGCACACACCATCACGCCCAGCTAATTTTTATATTTTTAGTAAAGATGAGGTTCCACCATGCCACCGTGTTGGTCAGCTGGTCTCTAAACTCCTGACCTAGTGATCCACATGCCTCATCCTCCCAGAGTTCTGGGATTACCGGTGTGAGCCACAAAATTGAACTTTCTAAGACCTTCCTTTACTTATGAAAAAGTGACTGAGGTAAACTTGTAGGCTGCCTCTAAGACATGGGCAGAGACAGAATTACATCTGGCTGAGCGGAACTTGGAGCATGACTGTAAACCATGCACGAAGAGAACGCAGGATACAGAATAAGAGAAATCTTGCCTGATTAGAAAGCAATGGAGAGGTTTCTGTGATGGGAGACAGAGAAGTTCAAAGCAGGAAACATATACATCCAGTGAGAGGTCACATGCCAGTGACATTTCTCCCTCTTTTCACAGACTGGTGGGAGCAAAAACATTCCTACAGATATGGGAGAACTAAAAAATATTAGACATAGTCATCTGCCGCCTCCAAGAATTGCTCAAAGGATAGAAATCTTCCAGAGGAAAATCCCCTTGCGATAGGCCTCCAAAAACGTCCAGGTCCTAGCCCCAGGATGTGTGAATATGTTCATACATGGCAAGGGGTCTTCATCAACGTGATAAAGATTAGGAAGCCTGAGACAGAGAGATTATCCTGGATTATGCAGGTGGGTTGAACCTGATCACATCAACCCTAGAAAGCAGACTTTTCTAGGCTGTGGTCAGAGAAATAGATGTATTCACAGAAGCAGGGCCACAGACATGCTGTGTTGCTGGTTTTGAAAAATGGACCCACAAATCAAAGAAAGCAGATGGTCTCTAGAAGCTGGAAAAGACCAGAGGCTCCAGAAAGGAACTCAGCCTTGTCTACATCTTACTGGACTTCTGACCTACACAGCTGTAAGACAGTAAATCTGGTGGTTTAAGCCACTAAGTCTGTGGCAATTTCTTATGGCAGCAGATAGATAACAAATCAACCCACATAGGTAGGTGTCATCTCTAACACGGAACAAGGCACTGGCAGAGAAAGGTGTCAGGAGAGAGGAGGAGGCTCCCATCATCTGCACATGGAAAGCTGAGGACCCAGAAAATCTCACACGTTCTGCTGGAAAGTGGAGAGGCAGAGAGGTGCCCCGAGAGCCAGTGGACAGGGAAGGCCTGGGGTCAGTGCAAGAAGCCATATCAGTTTTGCATCCAGAGACAAGTTACCCAGACCAAGAGCTTCATCTTTGGGTCAAGGGAGGAAGCACTAACAATGTCCCCAAACAGCCAAACGGGACCTGCCCATTCTCAGCAGATAGGTCCTCAAGGACCTTAAGGACCAGATCGTACTAGCAGCCTCCCCAGGGTGAAGACCTAAAATGACTAAGGGGGGAGCACAGGGCCCCTCCTCCCCACCTGTTCTAAGCACATATAATCTCCTCCAACCTCTATACTCCCTTTTGGGAAGAAGAAAGGGAGATCACTGACCAAAGCAAAGCCCATGTATGTCACAAGACCCCAAAATGTCTTCAGTTGGAAAGCTTTTGCCTCCCACAGGGTGAAGCCTCAGGAACAAGACTAGAATAATTAAAGAAACATTTATCTTGCCCATTTGGGTGTAACTTTGTGACTACTGTTGTACTGAACGGAGCATAGAAAGTCAACAGCAAGACAAAAGTATGCCAAATTGCAGGGTCTTTATTGCTGGCGGCCATGGAGGACTCACGTCTCTCCAACCTGTGGCCCCGAGAGGAGGATGTCAAGAGCTTTTATACCCGTACAACCACCTCAGGAGTGAGGGTGAGGGGCAGGGGTCGGGGTGAGGGGCTTCAGACATTCCGAGGGCTAGTAGATTCTATAAATCACCTCTTGGGCAGAGATGAGGGTGAGGGGCTCTGGACATCCCAGTGGATTCCTGGGCAAAGACGAGGGTGAGAGGCTCCGGACTTTTGACATTCTGATTGTTACTTAAGCAGTTCACAAAAGTCAAGACAAGCATTTGTTTACACATTGTCTGGGTAGGGTGGAAATTACAAGTCGCAGGGGCCAAGATGGCGTGGGTTTGGACGGCTTGCCTGTTGCATTTAGGTTACAGAAAGCTGAGGTATGGTTGCGGTATGCAGGTTTATGGGGCTTTTTACCAAGTCACACATGATCCAGATGGCCCTTTGAGAAAAGTGAACTTTAATTAATTTGTTTCTCACAAAGACATAAGTTGGTACTTAACTACAAATTCCTATATCATATCTCTAGAGAATATCAAAGAAGAAGAAGAAAGAGGAGAAGGAGGTAGAAGAAGAAAAAGAGAGGGAGGAGAAGAGAAAAGAGAACTGGGATTTAATTTAGAGACTCCCACGTATGAAGTGTTATGCTACACACTCTAATGCATTCTTCACTTAATTTCCACAGCACATCTTTAGGTTACAAATTATTGTTCTAATTTTAGGAATAAGGTGAGATCAGACATTTATCAACCTCACACTACGAATCTGTCAGGATGAAAATATTGACTCCAGTGTAATGGTAAAATAATAAAATTAAATGTGTAAGTGTAATGGTAAATAGTAAAATTAAAACATATGCAACACAGACCAGGCGCAATGGCTCACACCTGTAATCCCAGCACATCATGGGGCAAAGGCAGGCAGATTGCCTGTACTCAGGAATTTGAGACCAGATTGACCAATATGGCAAAGCCCCATCTCTATTAAAAATACAAAAAACCAGCTGGGCATGGTGGCGAGCACTTGTAGTCCCAGCTGCTCAGGAGGCTGAAGGAGGAGAATAGCTTGAACCCAGGAGGTGGAGGTTGCAGTGAGCTGAGATCGCACCACTGTGCTCCGGCCTGGGCGACAGAGCAAGACTCTATCTCCAAAAAAATAAAAGCAATAATAATAATAAACATGTGCAATATATACATTAAAACACATAGACTTTTATGCAGCAGGGAAGGGGAGATGGTAAAAGAAAACTGTTCTTCACTTTTTTTTATGAGAGAACCAAACTCCTTAGGCATGTTCCTCATGCATCTGATCCCCAGGCCTCCTTCATCCCATTGCTCGCTCCTCTCTGTCCCTCTGTCTCTATTCCTGACCATGAGCAGCAGCATCCAGAGCAGGGGAAGGTCATGTCTCACAGGCTCGGAGGCACAGATCCTAAAGCCACCCCGTATTAAAGGGTCCTCTGGGTAACCCTTCATTGCATTAGGACCCCTCCTCCTATACCCCTGCTCTGACCGCAGCTGGAAGGGTGAGATGGTCTCATTATCAAAGCAAACTCAGTTAAATGTATACTTCAAAATTACTTAAAATTAGATATGTCTTAGCTTTGCGCAGTGGCAGCATCATAGCCAATGAGGTTTATCCGAGGCGCGATTGTTGCTAATTGAAAACTTTTCCCAATACCCAGCCATGACTACCTGAAATATGGTCAGCATTGGCAATTTTTGACAGTCTCTATGGAGACTGAATTTAAATAAAGAAATAAAGAAATAAATAAAAATTAGATACGTCTTTACTGAAATCTTTACTGAGGTGGTTACGTTTCATGCACCCTAATAACCTGCAAACCCTCTTCACACTTCCCTGCTCAAAGCACCTTGGCTATGATTTTCAGCCACTCTTCCACCACTCCAGGCCATCCGGAATCTCTACAAAGTGAATGCTGGGAACTCCACTGTCCTACAGTCTCCTCTCTTCCCCACCTAATCTTCCCCTTGATTTGCCTCCCACCCTTTCTCAGGTAAACAGCGTTAACCCTCTAGGTTTCCCC